GTACAGCACTTGTACATGTTTGTTTTATTGAACAATATTACACTTCACTGAACTGTGAACATCTTGATGTATTGATTCTACCTTAGCGGTTGGTTTTTATATCAGGTAACTTTTCATATTTTGCAAGAGTAAAAGAGGTACACTTTGTAAACATATGCAGAGTATTGTGCTGTTATTTGCATAAAATGTGAATAAATTTAGTAATTTGTGTATTTTTTTTTACAGTTGTCCGATTGCTTTCTACCACCCCTAAGCAGTCGCGGGGGATTGCTGCCCGTTCCTGGTTCTGCCAAAGGTTTCTTCCTGTTAAAAGGGTTTTTTTCCCTTCCTACTGTCCCCAAGTACTTGCTCAAAGAGGGGTAATTGGTTTTTGAGGTTTTCGTTGTATTATTGTAGGGTATTTTCCTTATAGTAGAAAGTGCCTTGAGGCGACTGCTCTTATGATTTTTCCTATATAAATAAAACACAGTTAAATTGAAGTAGACTGATAAGAAATCCTGTTACAAATATACGCATTTACGGACAATCTTTAGGTCACGCCAACATTAAGAAGTTCCTGAATCTTTGACTTTAGAGCTAGACATTGAATTCATTAAATTAGTAAATAATAATTCCTACAAAAATAGAGTGAATAATGATTTTCACATATTAAATATGAAGGAAATTCCGTTATAAGGTCGCAATGTGTCCCTTCTACAAAGGGCGCTCCATATGTTAATTCTTCACCTCACATGAGGGCGGGTACTGGTTGTCGTGCCGGGAGAAAGATATTGTTTTTATTATTTCTATATTTGTTTTTATACATTTATTTAACAATTTAACAATGTAGTCACGGATGTTGTTAATAGGATGTTAGTAATCGAATTATTTTTTTTTTTTTCCTTTGCCAATTAAACCATTCCCGTGCGTTGTACGCTGTGAAACAAAACGCGCGCAACCATCGCGTCCACATTGCGCCGCATCACGGTGAGGTCATTGTCGTGCTGCGGTTAAATTAGCCTGGCTAACGGGAGCAGTGCACTGCTAAGCTATTAGCATTTCGTTTATGTGCGCTGAAGGCTGAATAAGTAACAGTGTGAAGGATGTCTGGAAGTGCAGGAGAGTGGTGTCTCATGGAGAGCGACCCCGGGGTTTTCACGGAGCTCATAAAAGGTTTCGGTGAGTGACTCGTAGGGTGACGCTAGCGCCTCATTGAATGTAACGTGGCTGTCTCGACAAGCTAGCTAGGTGGTTAACTGGAAACAATAAAGCTAACAATAGCTTCCAAATTGCTACTTCTTACTTTTGTATTGCAATAGGAAAATTTTTTTTACATACTGTGCATCTTTATTACACCTTAATGTTGAATGATTTGCATGTAATAATTGGGTCGCTACTTTAATTAGGCGAGCTAAATAGCTAGCATTACTCAGCGTTCAAAACAACGCGCGTGAAAGCAACCCCTTAGACATGTGTCGTGCATTCTCAGCTGTCAGACTACAAATGCTTTCGCTCTGTTAGTTAATGGTTACTTGAACGGTAATTAGCAATGTAAATAAATGTTCGCTGCTTCACTTGTCATTGTCAGGCTGCAGAGGAGCCCAGGTTGAAGAGATATGGAGTATGGAGCCAGAGAACTTTGAAAACTTGAAGTATGTTCATCTACACCTCTTATCTTGCATGCCTCTGCTAAAGACAGGTCTTTTTAATGTATGTGTTTTGTTACAGACCCGTTCACGGGTTGATTTTCCTGTTTAAGTGGCAGCCTGGTGAAGAGCCAGCAGGATCAATTGTCCAGGATTCAAGACTTGATCACATCTTCTTTGCCAAGCAGGTACTCTTAGCATCACAATTAATGTCCCTGTGTTCATTTAGATGCATTTGACTCACTATCTTCACTGCAGAAGCAATGC